TTTTTTTTTTTTTTTTAATATACCGGGACAAGCTTGCACTAAGTGGATTACAGAGCGATGACTGTGGGGTGCCCAGGGCTCATCCCTGGCACATGGACTCTGGGCTCAGGGAAGCCAGACTATGTCCAGAGTCCAACCATAGAAAGACTGAAGCACCTGATAATCTGCCTGCCTGGGTCGGGAGCTGCCCTATGAGGCAGTTCTAAGGCCCCAAGGAACACAATAGTCTGAGGCCACTTTTTAAGACTCTGGCTTATTCATCTTCCTCCTTACCTGACATTTCTTTACACACCTTGATAATTTCCTCTGTACTTAACCTTGACTCTGGTGAAGTCTAGCTTGGTTGTGCAGTTTCCTACTGTTTAAACAAATGATTGTTTAAACTCTAAATGCTGATGTCCACTCAAGAAACAGCAGCTGTTGCCAGTGTTATTCTTTCTTAGTGAAGCCAAATACAGGGCTGCTGGAGTCTGGAAATGTGTCTTGAGAAGTCAGTTTTCCAATCTGACATTGTAGCCCACATCCTGAAACTAGCATTACTAAGGCAGGGGTCATTTATTCATTCTAATGCCAGCATCACTTCTCCATAGACACAGCTGTCCCCCACTAAAAACCAGGCAATTATGTGCGTCTGATGTCTCTCAGGTCTTTTGGAGGTGGGAGTTAAGGATACTTGTGATGTATACACACCAATGCCCAATCAGAGAGGTCAGAAATCTTGGGAAACTGATAGCCAATTGGTTTTGGATGCTTGGGAGAGTCTGACAGTGACACAAGGGAAAAACAAACCAGTAGCCTTTAGAAAAACTGTGGGTTCAGAGGTCAACAAACAAATGAAGAAAGTATAAAAAAGTGTTTAGGAATACTGGCTTCAATAAGCCACAATCAAGAAGGAAAAAATTCCCTTGCTTTCGTACTTCCTCTCTTTTTGCACAGCATGATGTTTCTCTGGACTGGTAAATCATAACAGGAAGAATAACAGCAGCTAACATATTGAGAACTATTATGTGTACTAGTACTTTTAATATAGGAAGAGAGGCCAAATCCTCTGTACTCAACTAATTAAATAGTCATGTTAATTCACTCTCAAGTCCAATTGGGAAGCAAATGAAGCTGATTATCTTAGAATCTGATCAGATTCATGCTTATAATCTCTTCCTCCCTAACTTTCAGGTCCTGAGAGATTTTTTTATTTTTTTTTCCTGGAGCTTCACAATAAACACCTAAGTGAATTTTATACATCAACTCATTAAACACTTACCTCCACCCTTTTGGGCAGGCATGGTTATCCCCTTTTCACACAGGAGAAAACTGAGGTCCTGAAAGGTAAAGTGATTTGACAAGACTATATAATTAGTAACAGTCTGCCTACCACCTGACTACATGTTCTTCGTGATCCCAATATGTGGCCTAGGAAAACTTGGGGTCCTGAATAAAGTATTCTGGCCCTCCAATATTTTTTGGCTGAACACATACTCATTGTAAGGTATCTGACCATCTATTTTACTGAAGCAGTCTACTCTGGACCAGATGCCATTCCAGGCTGGAAATACAGTATTGGGCACATGATCTAAGTTTCTGCTCATATGGAACTTGCCATCTAAAATACCATATCCTCAGGTGAGGATTAAAAAAATATTAGCTAACATTTCTGCCTTTGTCCTTCATGAATCTTGTGAATAGAATCCCTATTCTAATTCTGATTTAGTAGATCCTTATTATTACATAAAAGGTTCTTAACTTGACAGTAAACAGATATTAAGAATTTTGTGAATTTGATATGGCTTTACTTGGGAGATTATCTCTGATTTGTGAAATTCATATAAATTAATCGTATCTTTAAAAGGTGGATTTGAAGTGGCATCAGCTAAGATAAGTTTAAAACATCCTCTTTAAGGGTTCTTTTATTTTTGGATGTTGTAGGGGAAGCATATGGACTTGAATGCCTCTTGGATTCATTGATTCATTACTCACATTAGTAAATAAAACGCTCCATTATTATGATTGTTTTATGAGTGAGTTTCATTGTGTTATGGAAACTTTTTGTTAAATTTTGTAGTGCCAAGTCTTGGGGAGGAAGGAGGAAATGCTTGATTTTTTTCCCCATCACTTCCCTCAGATCATAATAATGCAGGTAGGGGTGGATATGGAGAGCACTGCCAGAGATGGAGCAAGGCATTTTTCAGAAGCTACTTTGATGGAGAAATTGGCATATTCATGCATTCTGACTTTTTCCCTGCTTTTTACATCCTAAGTAAAATTAGAGGCTATAAATATGTATCACACATTTGTTTTTAGAGAATGGTTTGATAAGGATTTATTTGAAACAACATGGGCTTTCCTGATAGTAACAGCTCATCAAGCATTTTTTCTTTGTATTTATTCTATTCTTCCCACAGCTATTTACTACAGTTTTCTATGCCAATGACTATAATCAAGGGCTTTTCAGAATGTGTGTGCTGGAATGCTAAGTAATTTGTTGTTTTTGCTAAGAGGTGAACTTTGGTTTAGCCAATAGACTGTGTGGAAAGCAGAGGATGTATTTTTTTTAATTTATCTTTATTGTTGAAAGTACTACAGATGTCCATTTTTTCCCTTCATTGACCCCTTCCACCCTGCAGCTACCCCTTGCCCCAGGCCTTCACCACACTATTGTCTGTGTCCATGGGTTATACTTATATGCACATAAAATCTTTGGTTAATCTCTCCTCACTTACCCACCCACCCCCACCTTCCCTCTGAGATTCCTCAGTCTGTTCCATGCTTCCATGTCACTGGATTGATTTTGTTCATCAGTTTACGCTAAGCAAAATAAACCAGTCAGAGAAAGACAAATATCACATGATCTCACTTATATGTGGAATCTAAAGAGGATGTGTTTTGTTGTTGTTGTTTGCTTACAATAGAGTGTTTCTTTTGTATTAGGGATGTTTATTTATTTATGTATTTATTTATTTTAACCCTCACCTGAGGACATGCTTAGAGAGAGGAAGAGAGAGGGGTGGAAAGAAAGAGAGAGAGAGAAGGAGAAATATCGATTGATTGCCTCCCATACACACCCAAACTAGAATCAAACTCACAATTTAAGTATGTGCTTTGACCGGGGACCAAATGTTTTGGTGTACGGGATGACTCTCCAACCACCTGAGTCACCCAAGCAGAGTTAGGGACATTTATTTTAAAGCTGCTTTTAACACCTTTCCATACTAGCTTGCAGAAGGTGTTTCTTTTGTTTTCAAAGAAAGTTGTACTTTTACTTTCAACCCCTCTCAGTAGGAAACTCAAGAAATCAAAGCTGTTTAGGTACTTTTAGGAATGCTACTTATCATGTCTTGGTCTCTTTTCTATTCATCACCTAAATTCATCCCTTCTGACTCCATGCATTTGTATTGCCTTCCACCTGGAATGTGCCTATATTGTACATCTTTTATCTCATTTGAGCTTTCCAATGATTCTATGAAGTAATAAGCATTATCCCACCCATTTTACAGATGAGAAAACAGACACTCAGAGAATTTAGGAGCCAATGTGAAGCTTTCCATCTCTTAAGCTCAGTGTTCTGTGGGATACAGAACTTTGTTCCTTATTCTATGGGCAGAAAGTCGCCTTGTGAACGCCTCTAATAAACTGCTCCAAGACATGACAAAAATTACCTGCTTACTTTGGCAGTAGGGGCTCCTGTGGCTCTAAGGGGTGAGGTGTGTGCCTGGGAACCATAAGTGCACCATTCACCAGAGTGGTTTCTTCTCTTCTCTTGAGAAGATCCTGAGTCACAGATATGGAGCCCCTCTGGCCTTCAGTGAGCACCTGACACCTGAGCAACCCCCGGGCCACAGAAATTAGGCTCAGCAGGCTGAAGACTACAGATGGATTTTATTATTGTGCTAAAATACTAAGTCCAGAGGTCTAGAGCATGGTTTGGAATTGTTGGCTATAGTTTTTAATAAGTTATTTATGTAAACTTATTAGTCAAAGTATGTTCAAGATAAGAGTATTTTAGCCCTAACAGGTCTGGCTCAGTGGTTAGAGCATAGGCTTGTGGACCAAAGGGTCCCGGGTTTCATTCTGGCCGAGGGCACATACCTCAG